CGTCACAAGGTCCTTAAACTCGGTTCCAGAGCCCGGACACAGTTTTGCTCCAAAAAGTCGATTTCAACATCTAAAAAAAGCACTTTCCGTTAGGATTTGGCAGAAATAAAGTTCACCATTACTTTAAGCACATTTGAAACTATAGATTGGGATAATAAAAGAGAGTACGAAAATTTCGTTTCAGTGGCACTTTAATAGGGGTTGAAATTTATAAGTTATTCATGGTAAGTTTTTTTTTTTTTTTCCCCTTTTCCACTGCACAGGACAGCTCGAGGTGATAATGTGGGTACTGCCTTGTCGTTTGTGACTGCAAATGATTACAAAATACTGAAAAAAGCTGAAGAGGAATTAACTAAAGAGATCACAGGTACATAAAACATCTTTTAATAAGTTCCTTGAAGTTAGAGATCTGTTCTTTTTTCAGACATTGTTCTATAGTAAAGACCTGAATGATTCCAGATTCAGTGGATTTAGAAAAAGACTGACTAATTATTTACTTGTTACAATTTAATAGCTAAAATATCTACATAATAAATGGCGAGGGAAGAAAAAAATAACGTGATATTAACAAAAATAATGTTAAATGAAGCTATTAGGATAAAACTCTTACTGACTAGTAATTTTTGCTTTTGATGTTCAAGGAGAGAAAAAAGAGATTTTTAAGCCGTATCAATTTAGAATGGAGGAGATTGAAGGATTCAGATATCGAGCACAGGTAAATATAATTTGATGTGATAAAATTATTCCCTTGCGACTTGTTATGATCTCTTTGGACCCTGGTGTCGACATACAAATGAATCTCTCCAAGATCTTTACTACATGAACCTGGCAGTCTAAACTATATTTCATTGGCTGCATGTAACTTGCTTCACTATCGAGAATACAAAAATGTTGCCGTATTAACACTCAATAGCGTTGTCAAAATGGGACCGGGTTTGATCTTTCTAAACAAGTTGGTTTCAACAGTGTGTAATCTGTTGTTATTACTCAAGTTATGATGTTTTTTCAATTTTTTAATTCTTTGTAACTGTGCCTTTTTTATTAGGACGCACTTAGAGCTGTAACAAAATCAGCAGGTTAGTTTAAGCTAAATACTTTTTAGTATAGAATGCTGAATATACCTTTCGATCATCGTGGTGTTCAAGTTATGAGATTTTGTTTTAAGTCAACACAGTTTCCTTGGGGTGAAAGATTGAGTCCATATTATTTGATCAGAAGAGCCAGCAATCACTCTTCTACTTAGTTCGTACAGTGTTATCGTCCGGGTGAGGGTAGTTCTCAAAAGAACTGTTGTTGGTGACTGAACTTCTGATACTCCTGGGTTCAAACCATTTACTATGTTACTCCTCTACTTAGTTCCAAGACTTTTTGATGCTGGTTATGAAAATTTCTAATTACTATCTATGTTTGTCTCCCTCAGTTAAGGAAGCACGACTTAAAGAAATCAAATCAGAAATATTAAATTCTGAGAAATTAAAGGTACGTATCTCTGTCGTTTGTCGGCAGGCAAGAACAGCGTCATGTGAACGTCTATTTTACTCCCATTCTTGTGGGACATGGATAGAAATATTGCTACTCCTCTGGTGAAAAAGGCGAAACAGAACGGAAAAGAGAGGAAGGGAAAGTTAAACCATGGTCTAATTCCGGGTAAACCAACAATAATAAAAGAGCAATTACAACAGAAGCGCTGTGTTCAGCATCATTATTTGTGTTTTCCATTAAAATGGCAGTGACTGCATATGGGTGTTATTTCCCCCTAGGTTGTAAGTCGATTCGATTGGCTGAAAAAATCCTTATTGTTCTATTGGGTTAAACCAGGTTGTATGAGTGTTTAAAACCAATAACAGATGTCAGATTACCTTCGACAACCAATCAACTGGTGGATGAGAACGTGGATGAGAATAGGCTCTCTCTGAGTGTAGCTCTCTGATTCTTCTCATTCCACTACAAACTTTTACCTGGAGTTCGCTGTTCTTTCCCAATTGGACATGATCAGGAAGTGGGGAGGTCTGCCACAACAGTTTTAGCATGAGAAATCTTTGGACTTTTCCCTCGCTCAGAGACTTGTCTAGTGATCTCCCGTGGGTAGTTGCAAGGACGACATAAATTTCCATATACATCTTTAAATTAAGTTTTGGTCTTTTCAAAATTACATTTTGATGTGAAGTGTGTCTATTTAACCAGGCATATTTTGAAGATAATCCAAGAGACTTGCAAGTTCTCAGACATGACAAAGATCTTCATCCCACAAGAATCCAACCTCATTTAAAAAACGTCCCCGAATATCTCGGTAAGTTGTTGTTTTGTTTTGTTTTTTTTTTTTCAGTCATTTTATCTTATGACGCTCTCAGCCTTTGTCATGTTGCTAAGCAAAATCTTGGCAGATACCGCGGGCTCAGTCAATACTCGATGACAGAATTTGTCAACGAATTATTTTTTCACCTGCCCTATTTCAATTTCCACATAACTAACAAGCCACCACACGATGTTTTGTAATTGTTGTTGTTGTATTTTAGTTCCTCCTACTCTTCGACCTTCCATGGCGAAATCTTCTCGGAAGAGAAGACGTCCTCACATGTCATCACAAAAGAACGCTCACAGTACACATGGCGGCAAGGTCAGTTTGAACTGGAAGTTCCTCGTCCGTGTATAATATTGTAATAGTCCCACCTTAAAAGAATTATGTAATTAAGCAACAACAATGGAGTCAACCTTCCCGGTCATTAAATATTTTGCAGCTTTGCATCATCCAAAGTCAAACGTCTTATAAAGGACACCTGTAAATTATCCTTACTGATTCCTTATGGACCACTTTTCACTACGATTTACAGAAGGTGCCTTCTCAAAGTATACCTCAGTATTTTAGGCAGAATTCTTTGTCGCTTCCTGTCTTTCAAGTTTAACTCTTTTGTTGTTGTTGTTGTTGTTGTTTTCTTTTAGAAGCGTAAGATGGATCCATTGAAGAGTTTTAAATATCAAAAACATCATCAGAAGGGGAGTAAGGTATGGATGTCCTTGTCTACGCTGTCTTACGCAGCATGTTCTGTTTATAACTCGCAAGCTGTATTTTGAGCACAGTGGAGAGAATGATTTTTTTAACGCCTAGACCTTACCTCCAGCAAGTAAACTCAAGCGCCAGTACACGGTAGAGTGTGAACATCACCTCAGTGATCACAGAGCCTGGTGGCCAGGTCATAACTCACCCAGCAGATATGTTATGGTATCAGCTTGTAACCCATAATCCTCTGTGTCATACGTCACAGTAGAGCATAACAGGACTTGCTGTTGTATCCAAACCGATCTGTGATGAGTGTTCTAGTTCCGTGTGGTCTGAAGTCCAGGCCCGGGTTGTTCGAAAGGTGAATAACGCTATGTGCCGGATAAACTGATAACTTTCCAGCAGATAGCATGGTTTGTCTTGTTAACACTTATCCGATAGATAGCGCTTTATCCGGTGGATAGCGTTATCCGACCTTTGGAACATCTAGGGCCAGCTGCTAAACTACAATACCATCCAGTTATTGCTGAGAAAAAGCTTCATCTCAACAAGATGTTTTCCTTTCAGGGACACGGGAAAGGTAAGAAAGGTTGAACAACCATGGCTATACCTTTCTCTGCCTTGCGTGGCTCGACTGTGAAGAAGCCTGGGTAGATTATCACGACTGAGTTCTTCGACTCGTCCCAGACTTTACACAAGCAATGGACGTGATTGGTCGCTATCGATGACGTCACATAATTGTGAAAGTTTTGACCTGACCGAGGTCCATTGACTGAAAGAAAAAGAGTTCATGCAGTAAATGTAACATGACTCTTGCTGACTACTGCAGAAATGTTGTAAAGAACAGCAGCATCTTAAAGATCAGCCTGCTTCTGCAAGGTTGTTCCTTTTTCTTTTTGTAGGCAGGTTTCTCGTTGAACTACAGCTTATCGCTTTTCTTCAAGTTCTCTCAGGACTGACTACTGCCATTGAACCGGCAGATCTAAATAACCTGATTCAAGTTCGTTAACTCGAGACGGTACCTCGTGACCTGTAGATATTATATCAGGGGCGACCTGCGCCCTTCACACGGTTCTTTATAATTGGCCAAAGGAAAGAGCAGGTAAACAACACAAACAATGGCGCTACCCCAAAGAACAAAAGAGGTGCAGATTAACAAGAATGAACCAGAATAGAGGTTTTAAAGACATGTTTTATCGCCCTACCGTCTTCATCGGTTCTACTTTTATGTTCAACACCTGTCTTCAATTTGGAATAAATTATGTTGTTTCGTGGAATAAATTATGTGATTTGTAACAATCGTCTAAAAATAATCTGAGAGGAAGTTTACAGCATTGTCCAGATGATTTCAGTACTGACATTTCTCCTTTAACGCGGAAAATTCCCTTGTAACTACTTGGCGGATTGCCAAATATATGAATGCACAAAAGGCAGTTTAAAATTATGTTATCTGGAGTAAATAGATTTAAAAATAATCTGATACAATCGTCTTATTTTCAAGTGTTGGAAGTTGTCCAAATTTCGTTGTTTGTTTGTTTTCTTTTTCCAAATTTGCTCCAATTTTTTTCGCCGTTTCTTTTCCTAATATCCTTTCTACATTTCTTTGTGCTCATATCAAATGTCGTTTTCCATGGCAAGATTTGAACTAGTCCTAACCAACTGAGACCTATTGGAAATGAATGATTGGTCGGCACTGTGATTTGCTGCTGATTGTGGCCAAATTTTGCATTTGACCAATTATAATGCGCTTGAAATAAGTTGTAAACTAATGTATTCAAAAATAACTGTACGTGTGAAACTTTCCTTCGTCAAGCAACGTTTTGCCGAATGAATCGATGCTGATGTTATGAGAAAGCAATGGCAACTTGGGAATATTTGAGCAAGTTATGGTTTACGGGAAGCGGAAAAGCTGGACGTTTTGTCTGTGAAAGGTAGTTTAACAAAGGGAAAGTTACTCAAAGGAATGACCGGTCAAACACTCAGTGACGCCACAAGTAACCCTCGAGCAGTTGAACTTAACATGCGGATGGCTTGCTTCTTCATAACGTAACTAGCCTCCTTTATATCGTTCAGTGATTAATTATACTATAAGCGTTCTTTGTGAGCCTAGAAATTTTGAGTGCAGTGTTAAATCGAATATATATGTGATTGCACGGCAAAGGAGAACCTTGTTGGGAAATTCTCTATGAGTATTTATTGCTCCGCGCACATTAATTGTTATCAATGGGTCCGTGACTACTTACTATTGCTACAAGATAGTTTGGTTGCTTCATGATTTCTCCACAGAACAAGCTAGAACAGGTTATGATCATTTATCTAATCTTGGGCACGAGGTCAGTTAAGTTACTAGGGGAGCAGGGATGGCACAGTGGTTATGTGGGTTGAATTTGTTGTCGGTTCTCTCCTTGCTTCGAGGGTTCTCCGGTTTTCCTCCGTACACAAAAACCAACATAGAAGATGATGTGGCTTCCTCTCTAAATATTGTACTTTATTAATTTTTATTGCAATAGGTATTTTGCGTCCCTTTAATTCCGAATGATCGACTTGTCCTTGTCAAGCAGATCGAGGGAGGGAATTAAAAAAAAAGTCATCAATCGGGGGATATTGATTGCTGTACCACAAGATTTGTACCACAAATATCGAAAGATTTGTATTGTTTATCAACAAACTACACCACACCCTAGCTCCCTCTTTCCCGTACAATAATGAGCCGCAATGAGTGCAATTTGTCTTTACTGTTTTGGCAGTTTATGAACGGTTTCACTGGCGATGGAGCAACTCGCAAAAAATTCAGTGGAAATAGACCTTACTACCTATAATCTGAAAGTAGAGATAACGACGTTTTATTTTGCGAGCCAAAACTGTTTTTCTCGTTTCTGACTGCTTGCAATAATATTTCTTGTGACGTTTTCTGCCTCATTCATGGTCTACAATGTTCGTGTTGCGCGGTTATTTTAAAAGATGTTTTCACGTACCAAATCAGGTTAAGTCAGCATAATTTACCTTGAAATTGAAGGAAACCCAAAACGAAAAGTTTGTCAGTTATAAAACATGAAAGAGTTAATTAATGATTAACCAAAACGGAAACAAGGCTGGTTAACAGTGGGAAAGATTGAGATGGATTTAAAACAATTTAGTTGAATTCAACTTCGATAAAACAATGAAAAAATATCATCACTACTCATATTAACTTTCGTCAGTTTTGCTTCCAACCTTTCTTAAAAAGAAATGTATTGTTTACAATTTGGCGCAGTTTTAATTAGTTTTTCGAAAGTGACAAACGAAAGGGGAAATCTATCTGCCTTTATCTCACACAAAGAGTGTTTCCTTTATTATTCTTCACAAATAGTATTGGTCTTATTATAAAATTGCGGACTATCTGTAAGGCTATAGTTAAGTTATAAATTCCATGATACAAAATACTGTTAACTAAAACAAATAAAAAATTGCCACTAAAGCGGTTCATATACATTTAAAACACACTCGTGGTCTGTTAGTGCACAGATGACATCAGTGTAGAAGGGTTTTGAAATCAAGTCCAGACCATTGTCTACTTAAACTCGAAATGACTCCCTTACAGAACAATTTTGTAAAGTTAAAAACATTGCTCGACAGTGAAGAAAATGACGAGCACCCCGTCCCTTTTATATGGGAGTCCCCTCCCCCTCAGGGGCAATTCATGAAACTAACAAATTTAAAGGACGAAGGGTTTTCTTTGCAGCAACAGTTATCCATGTTCTTATTTTTGACTGCTGACAATTTTACAAATGCCCTTTTAAACATTCACTCCACACTAATACTTTTTTTTTATAGTAAATTATAGTACATTCTACTACTTTCTACTGGATCATACCAACTAAGCCTTACTTACAGAGGCTTCTATATAACAACTTCAGTTAAAAGATCTCATGCACAAAACAATTTTTAAATCATGTTTAACTAGCCAGTTTTTGTGCATATCTAACAACAATGCCTAAAGAGGGTAACACCAAAAAAAACTAGCGCTAAGTTGATTAGGGTGGCCCTCATAAAAGAGAAACAAATGTATTCCTCTTTTAACATTATTCCTTGGTCAGATTAAATCTAATCCAAGTGCAAACCTATTGAAAGTATTCGTTTTAAGCTCTCCTATTTGTCATAAATTCCTGATAGGTAATTGTGCTTGCTTTGATTTTGCCTTTGCTACGAACTCAGTAATACATTTTTAAGGAAACTCATGAGACACATTCTAACCAATCAGAACACACATGAAGTGTTTTCAACCAATCACGAGCAAACTTTAAATTACCATACCTTTGCTTGCACACATTTTCCTGTGCTTCAATTGTGATTGGTCAGTTATGATTACCTCTATTTAGTTTAAGGACAGTCACTAAAAAGCTTTCTAACTTGCAGCAGTAATATAAGATTGCTAGAGGGGTAAGGGCTCCATTTAGAAGGAGTGGGAATGCTCACTGTTTCTGCAAATGCATCAAAGATGTAAATTACGTAATTTGTTATCATTTTAAAGGTGTTCAAGACAAAAAGCTCATATACCTTTTAATAGTTGCACACCGTCATACTGAGATGGTGGTCTCTAAATATCAATCTGGTAATGAAACTTTTGATATTACTGAGCATCCCCATTCCTTCAACATGGAAGTCTCCAGGCTACAATCTAACAGCACTTGATATAAAATCACTCAATGTTCTCCAGCTTTAAAACCCAGGCCCATTCAGAAGGAAGCTTGTTTATAGGGATGGCAGGAAAAGTGACAATTATGCCACCTTTATCACTAATTGGATCCCAGGCAAACTTTCCTTCATAACCCAGCATGGTAACTGTGGTGTGTTCAGATGCCATTGGTGCTCCAAGAATGAGGTTAGTTGTAGCTGGCCACTCAAGAACAATGGCATACACAGCATCAGCTTTGGACGTGTACCTAGCAATAAAAGAGAAGCAGAGTTATGGTCATTGGTTTCTTTATAACAAAGAAAAAAAATTATACGGAAAGGGACAAAGATGGAATAAATGGAAAAAGTACAGGGAACCATAAAATTAGCATTCAGCATAGACCTAAGTCCCATAAACCATTACAAGATATAACACACTTCAAAGGCTGAATTCCCTTTTTAGTGCAGAGTGCACTATTGGGATGGTTATGGGAGCTGCCTGCCGCTAAGGAACTATGGCACTATGGCCCTATGGCCCTATGGCGCTAAGGTGTAAACTTTAATGATTGTTTAATTAATTAATTTCAATTAATTAATTTCAATTGTTTAATTAATTAATTTCAATTAATTAATTAGTCTAGAGGCAACGAAGCAGTGGGGGTAGGGTGGGAAAGGTACATGTGTACTCTATGTAAAACACATTCCATCGCCGTCACTTAGCTTTGAACATCGCAAAGCTATGTATTTGTTTCAGGTAACCCCTTGCTCTCCTTGTGGTACCATTTCTCCTTAGAAGAAAACTAATTTGCCCTAAACGCATGCGTAGATTAGTTAGCGTTCGTGGCTTCTATATTAGGTGAAGGATACATTGCATACGGAATCACGCACA